ATTACTGTCTCAAGCAGGGACGTTTTGTTGTAAACAGTCGACTTTCTCGGATTTGACGATCGAAATGTCAGTTTTCTGGCCCAAACCAGTTAATGCATCCCAAAGTTTGAAAGAAGTCGAAAAATAACCTTTTGTTCCTAACATTAGGCGTTTGTCGGCACTGTGGATTGTATTATTTAACTACAAACATCTGTTAGGCATTTTATAGAAGAACACTTAAAAGCGTACGTCATGTTGACTGGAGCAGTTAAACCACTGGTCGGATGTATACGCATTCGTCACACTCTAACCTTTGCATTGTTTTCATTATTTGAACATATACATTGGTCGGTTAACATATTTTTCGACAAAAAAGCCTTTTTCATTGAAACAGTTGTGAACTTATGTTTTACTGCAGATTTGCCGCTATTTAAACAGTTTGTGGAAAATCCGAGAGCCTCTTTTACTCAACGCTTATTGCTGCTGAAAAAAATAGGCGATCATAAATTACTTTTTAATCTCGAGTAGGTAGGTATATTTAAGGAGCTACAGGCCTAAACCGCGTAATCTTCACAGACTGTCGACAGGCAGTCAGTAGTATAATTATAGTAAGTATTTAGTAGCTAATACCTGTGCTGCCAGTATAATAAAGCATTACCTAAAAGGTAAAAGTATTTTGCAACTGACCACGAAAGAAACAAGCTACTATGCACGTTTAGGAGTCACGGCCCTGACCTGGTTTGCGTTATTACATTACGGTATTTAAAGAGTTTAACCTGAGCACGTCAGAGGTAAAGTTGCCAGCACGAGCTTTCAAGCGCGTGAACTTCTCATCCAACGCGTTAACTGCTTCTGGGGTTGCAGGTTCCGGCTGTTCTGAATTAGCCATGTTCCACAGGCCTTTTAAAAAGGCGCTTTTGGCGCCTACCGTCGTCTGATAAACATGCCCGACATCAAAATGGCATAGAATGTGCATATTTATTTCAAATATGCGGTCCTTTTCCTCCTCCAGAATTCGAATTTCATTGCGAATAGTCTGCGGCAATGAAGTCATCCAACAGTTCAAAATGAGGATGGTATTGTGTAAGTTTGGTTTCTGATCGGATCGGAATTTTGCTTCTTTTCTATAGCGAAAGATAAAGTCACATAAGTCACGTAAATAACATGGATTCACTCTAATCATAAATATTCAGAAGTAAATTCCTCAAATTCACAACAGACAGCATTAAAAGCATGTAAACCAGTTTATATTTTGGATCGAAGTTTTGGCAGCTAAAATACACAGTTGTTCTTCAAGTTGACCCCCTCTATAACAGAAGCTACAATGCTGCACGATTCGGTTGCCGGGGGTTTTTAGGGCCAACGTACAACCTGCTTATGATTAATCCCTCCGGACACGTTCGTGTTGCGGAGTTATACAAAATGTACTCAATACAACATGCCTTTCTTGACAAGTAAGTCTTCGCGGAATATTTTTCGAAATACTTTACCCATTCAACAATTGGAAGGAGCTGCTATACGACTTTAACCTCACAGCAAACGTACAGTGGGTCTGTAGCGCCATTTTCTCCTCACGCGTCACGCCACACATGGGTTCATTTGATGGTAGCCTCAGTCGCCAGTGGGGCAGTCAATTACATGTGTCGCAAACTGAGCCAATGCTCGATCCGTCACGGTGGCTGACGTGCGCACATACCCACGCCTGCCTCGCCAGGTCTGAACAATCATCTCCCCAAGGCTGACTCAAACAAGGACCGCTTTGTAGGCGCTTGTGACGACCCCCGCGCTCTCACTTTTCGGATGCCGGTCTCGTGACCGGAGGCAGGCCTGTCTGAGTGTCAACAATCTCAAACTTAAGATCCACTATTTCTGTACAGAATAAACTATTCCTTCTAATCTGGCCTCCCACTTAGTCTCTTCCCTCAAGAAATCCGACCTAAAGATCGTAGTGGCAAGGGTTTTTTTCTATTAACCTAACCCACTGCGATAAACGTACGCATACCACCAAAAAGTCGAAATTGGTATTATTCAAATCTGTTTGCATGCAAACCCTTCCAAGGTGGCCCAGTATCTGAGCGCAATCTTCCGCGAATCCGAAGTAAGCTGCAGTAGATCAGGGGCTGCAAATCTTTTCAGAAAGATTACCGTACTCATTTGACCGCCTTGATAGGATGAACAACTTCAGCATTACTTACATTCACTACCGGCTACAAAATAAACTCTTGAACAATGATTGGTGCCGCCTTCTAGGTGGTTGTTGCGTGCAGTACTTACTATAACTCGACCTCAACTTCCGCAGTTCCTTCTACTGAGTAACGCTACAGCCTATAGATGTTACTTGAGGCCCCAATATGAACCACAGAGGAATGCGTAAGTTGCTATATGAGCCTGGGCACTTTTATAATATTTTTAGCGTACCTGGAATTTATGATGATACAGCATCTGACTGCAGGTCAAATTGGTAAATATAATTCCTATAAGAACTGAAAATTTACCGCGTATAACCGTATAACACTCCGTTGCTTCGGGTTAGTGCATGGTCAGTGACTGACGGCTATTAGGTCATACCTATCGATGACGGAACTATGCATAAAGAATTGTGATGAAAAATTCGACAAAAATCTTCAAAATATCCCAAGGAATTTTTTATTGATAAAAATGTTTGTGGGTTAGAAAGAAAAGAGCTAATTTCCAAGGAGAAAAGTTTTGATCGTGAACAATACATGAGATTCCAGTATGTTGACATGCGAATAACTTCAAACTCTCGAAAGTAGATATTACTGCTGTTGTTTGGATACCACCTGTGATATAAATATAATTACCGCATAGAAAAGTGGTACAGACATAATATTCGACCGTTTTTCTTTTCCCATGTAAGTGTTTACTTATACAGAGTGATGCTACCCAGAGGTTTAATTTCGGTGTGTTCCTGTTACCAAGGCCCCCTTGACTAACCTATGTAAATGCCTCAGACTATCTTAACCATGAATATGTGGGCTTTTCTAGAATATATAATAAACTGTGAAAGTTATTTTCTCGGCTGTTGTCACTTTCGGAACTTCACTATTCTATATCCTGCTTACTTTGATGTGATTCGCGAAAAAATCTTCTAGACTGCCCTACTACCTAAAATTTTCAGTAGTATTTCTCTACTGACCCACTTTTAGATAAATATTTGCAGTTAAAGCCGAAACTTACTTTCTATTGAAATGTTACCCATCTTCGCGAAGGTTTATCGAGTAAAAAGGTCATATTAAATGCCAGATAACAAAAAGAAATCTGTAGTTTGTAGTTCGTCAACGAAGTGGAGTCAATAAATTTGCATATTCACTTGACGAATGCGTTTTAAGAATTGAAGATCTCAATCTAACTCAGAATGCTATTATATGACAACTAACGAATGAACGCGTAAGCCTCTTTTTTCAAATGTGAGATGATTGCCCTGGTATAATTAATGCAGCCACCTCTATTTTGGACTTTGCTTCTAGCCTAAATACATAATAAATTTCTGTAAACATACATACTTGTAAAGTGAAGACAAGCAAAAAGAAGTAAATCGGCAACTTGATTATGAGTTCAAACTCTTTAATAATCCACATTTGAATCAGAATCACTTACTCCTTAGTCGGTTTCTTTCTATTACTGTCAACGCTCTGAAGAGCGCGTTCTTCTGTTATTGTGGGCTTGCTGGGTAGGTGGAAGTGCAAGTACTCGGACAGATCCACGTCTTGCATAGAGCCCTCGATCAGGTGTAGCGTGGATTCCAGATCCTGAATACATGACCTTGCCTTCGATTTCAGTCTCTCCAAGAGACTACCATCAACGCCAGTCTCACGGGCACCGGACTTCACAGGTCTGGGTTGGCGAATGGGCGTAAAATTGGTAGCGACCAGCTGAAGGTTCTTAATCACGTTTGTGCAGCAGGCGGCGACGCCGTTGTCGCCTAGAAGAGCTGCACTCTCTTCACTTAGGCTTTTCTCCAGGATCTAAAAGTGAAACATTTATTCATTGCATTGCACTTTATTCCTTATTCGCAAAATTCAGAATTTGCCAACAAATGATCTTTTAGTAATGGGTAGAACAATCGGCAGGGAACTATAGAGGGGTGCATGGAAGGCCAAGATGTACAACAATCGCTTACTTACAACTTTTAAGTAGGGTGAATTTTTCAAAAGCTTCCAATTTTTCGCGCGCCGGCCGTTGGTTCAGTGGGGGGGGGGTTGATGATGATATTGAAATATACATGGGTCGTCGGAAGGCCGACGTGTACAATAACCGGTTAAGTCAGTTTATTAGGCAAACTGACTTTTCAAATTAACTATGGGAATAACTGCTTACTTACAAAATTTGAGTGGAGTGAATTTCCACAATATTCCGAATTTTCGCCGGCCGGCGTTGATCTCGTTGGAGCTGTTGATGATATTAAAAAATGTACCTCAGTGACGTCACCAAAGGCCGCTGAACACCCTTTAACTTACACGCGTAACTTTCTTAATTTACATGATTATTGCGCCCTGATGACAGATGACATATGTGGATGACATATATGGCCCCCGAAACAGGACATGGAGAGCAGAAAAACCCCGCCAAACTTATATACTTGGCCTGGCGCACAATTCCAATCCGAGTCTTAACCCTAACATAAGGCATACTTGAAGTTTAACGGTAACCGTCCTCTATTCTGGCTCCAATTTTGACGCCAGCCTTACCACTCGTTGCTGAACGTCCACCGATCGCTAAAGGAACTCACTCGTCCCACTTTGCCTTGGATTTCATTTCTCAGGCTCTGACAGCAGCCGCGCCGTCCAAGCAGATATTATTGCCGGCAAAAACCAGGAAGACTTGAGTGGCCATTTCTGGCTTATTGGCTGTCGTCAGCCAGTCATGCCTGTGTTCGGTATGAAGACAGAGTCAATAAGACCAGAGGTGGGATTGGACGCAAGTGGCCGGGGCTGCCAAGCCTGAGCCAGATCCCACAGAGTGGGAGTGCCATAGAGATCACGGGTGGCTGGTGCCACAGTCGGTACACGCGCGTACTACCAACGCCCCGCATATTGAGCATTTGTTATGCGAGCGCAACCCGAGTAATGCCCACCATGCCCTAATTTAGCCCACGTGTTCGTCTACCACATCCACCACGCGGCCCGTTTGGGAGGGGAACATCACCACATGCACCGTCCCTATCAAAGCTATCATGTCGACGGCGACG